TGTTTTTTGACGAAATGCTTTGAAATTTAAAACATAGTCATGCAGTAGGATATCCTACAATACGATATAGAAAGAAAATCATGAAATCACGCGCATGCACGTGTGCTGCAATTTGATTGGCTGAAACTTTAAATGGCTTTATTTATTTTGTTTTTTGACGAAATGTATGGAACTTTAAATATAGTCATTCATTAGATATCCTTCAATACGATTAAGATAAAAAATTCATGAAATCACGCGCATGCATGTGTGCTGCAATCTGATTGGCTGAATCTTCAAATGGCTATAACTCCCTTGTTTTTTAACCAAACAGGATGGGATTTTGAACATAGATAAATATAAGGGACTCCTACAAGAAGGTGTATTCTTCATGCACTTGCTTGCACGTGCGTGCACGTGAAATGAGTGAAATTAAAAATACACTCGAATGAGTGTATTTTTTAATACTTCTGAATAACATCTTTGATATATTAAAATATATAGATAGTGTAGACAAGATAATATGGCTGTTATGCACATGAACACGCGTACAATGCTTAAATTTAAATATATTTTGTATTCTTCTGGAAAGACCTTGATAAGTTTAAATTCCATTAAGTATTTCTTATTTAATAGAGATTACAGGGAATATGGCACCAAAAGGGAGTTGGGGAGCGTTTGGGGAACATCTGTAACGGTCCCCGTTACAATTAGCACTAGTTTATAATTTATTTTTGTTTAATAGTTATGATTTCATTGAATTCTAATCACAAGAAATAGATTAAAGAAGATTTTTTTAATTTGCTTTTTTCACTTTATGTTAATTTAAGAATATTATTAATTTTTAGGATAATTGTATAAAAAACCCATTCTATCATTAATACTGAAAAAGTTCTTATTGTAACTTAGAAGAAAATGATGAGAGGGTAGTCAATTAATCCCTCGGGATTAATTATCTAGCCTGCTGCAGGAAAGTAGTAGGCTTTTCTTTATCTGTCTTAGATTAATGAGAACCTTTGTCTGCAACTGCTGTTTGTTTGAAGTTAAGGTCAAGCCTTCATGATATCTGCATTCATTGAAGGCTGGCATTTTATATAACACAAGCCTCATAATTGTTTAAGGTTCATCGATACTCTGATAAGAGAGATAACTCAACAGATAAGAAAGATAACTTTCTGCAGACATTTTGTTATGAAATTCAGTAAATTGTCATGCCAGAGTTTACAAATCTCTATCTGGACCATTTTATTGTTAACTCAAGCAAACCTATCCCATCATTCAGAGGTTGATTTCTAGTTCTATTGCTAGTATATGCAAAAATTATTTTGAATAGTTTACCTAAAATATTTACACTCAGTTCCTTTAAACGGTGTAAATTGATAAAAAAATCTATTTTTTAACGTGAAAGTCTTAATAGTTGTAAAGAAATAAAAGCCGCAGAATTATTTATAAACATTTAATTGATATTTTATTTCATTAAAAAAGAATTTCAAGGGCGATAATGGAACGATAACTCTTGCTTATGGATGCATTTTATTTTACATGCACAAAAAACAATTTGATATTCTGTTTTAAAAAAGCATCGCTCCAGTATGTTTTCTAAAGGGAATCAGATAGGTATGAGAGTAGATATTATTTTTATATATACCTCATATTTCTAATTTAATTGTGAGATTAAAAATAATTGATCTTTCAATCCATATCAAATTTTCTTCAAATCATGATTTGACATATCATTATTTCTGAAAAAGTAAGCAACGCTTCAACTTCAAACTATTTTTTATTTGAATTGAATGTTATAGTTTTTCAAAAAATAATGTTTGGAATTTTAAAAAAAAGTTGTGAAATGGGGAGCAGAGGGATACTGTCCCTTAAATATACATTCAATGTTAAATTGTTCTTTACTGTCTAATGTAAATACAAGGATATTATTTTCAGGTTTTTGAATTTTAAAAATTATCTTGAAATTTTAAGAATACAGTTGTTTTGTACATTTTTTGTATTCCGTAAGCTGCGACCTATTAATTCTACCCCATGGCGGGGCCCTTGCTGACTGGTCAGTTTTCTATTTTTTTTTGTATTTAATATGTACATTACTTTGATATATTATGTCAGCTGAATTTTATTATTATGAAAATTAATAAATAAGAGTGTGCTATTAACTTCACCCACACACTATCAATTTAATAAGAGATGTCAGACAAGTCAGTGATATTTGAGTGTTCTAGGGGTTTATTTTATTTGTTTTATGTTCATAAAAATACCTGGTGTGCAATCTGAACATGGGATGAATTACTGTCAATGTGTAGGGATACAATGTCTTATCTTAACTGTTATTATCTTACTAGATGCTTTTTTTCCATTGTGAAAGGGCAAAAATAACCCTATACACTATATTTGATTTGAGGTGGAAGTGTTGCTAGCCTCACAGGACCTGAATATACATCAAGATTAAGAGAATTATGAGATTATTTTAGTCAACGTGTCAAAGTTTTATGTCAAAACTTAAAAAAAAAAAAAAAAACAAAAAAAAAAAAAAAAAACAGTAACATAAGCAATTAAAAGTGCAATCATTTGAAAAAACTTTTGTTGTAAACATATTAAATAATTTATCTTTAGATGATTCTCTGGGATAAAATGAATTAACATCAATTTATAATTTTACTATATTTTTTTTCACTGTAGACATCCCCATTTGCCATGTCTACAGGTGGGACAAGAACATAAACACACATATCTTCCATTAGAGGTAAAGGTTTAATTTAATCTACCAGTGTCATGGGTATTTGTTTTGATCTACCATTGTAAATTAGTTTTTTATTTTAATATAGCTTATGATTTAATTTTTCTGGAGACCCGCAGGCAACATGTGTTCTTTATTGGTGACTCTTGCAACATTCATTTTCTGTGATTTCTTAAATTAAATGATGCATTCAGTACAAACTGCAAAGCAGAATCCTTTTATTTAAAGTCTCATCTTGAAATATCAGTACACTCTTATAAAGACATGTTCAGTATTCACAATTATAGTTATATGCCTTGAGAATTTGGAGGTATATATATTCTTTCCTTATTGTAGGTTTGTAATGTTGTTGGAGGCCAGGAAATTTTAAAAAAAATTGACTGATCTCCAGACATCTACCATGATCAGGGTAAATAACTCTGTCTTAATGAAGTTAGAATACTGCTGTGGCAGTTATTGTAACCACTGTGAAAATTGTATTGATAAGGATGTTTTAGTATTGCTTTCAGCAGTTGTGTATTGTTCTGTATATTTTTTCTACAGGCAACGGCAAAGAATGCACCAGACAGAGAAAAAGAAATCAATACTTTGGTATGTAATAAAAAAAATTGAACTTAAGAATGAAATTAAACTGTGACATATTTTATATTAAATGAGACCTCCCATTATTATAAAATGTACATAACATATATAGGTCAAGAAGGCTAACTACAATGCGGACCCCCATCTGAGGACATTTGGAATCACTGTCAACCCTCAAATGATGGACCTGCATGGAAGAGTCCTGTCACACCCTAAACTGCAGTATGGGGGAGCGGTCAGTATTTATACAAGCATACAAAAGATAGACAGACATACAAAAAAATAGAAAAGTGTACAAAAAAGACACCCTCCCCAAATATAAATGAACGAGCTGTCAGTGTCTATAAAAGCATATAAAAAATTTACTGTCATCTGTTATGTTACTTGTGTACCAGGATTTCATAGGGGAAACAATCATTGTTAAACAGTCGTACAAAAAATATGCACCAATTTAGCTTTTCAAGATTTTATTTTGGTCATAAAATTCTAAAAAAATGTAATGTACAATTGTATCTACTTCCAGACTAAAGCCCAGGCCCTGCCAAACCAAGGTGTATGGGACATGAGAGGAAAGCAGTTTTACTATGGAATAGAAGTGCGAGTTTGGGCCATTGCCTGCTTTGCTCCACAGAGGAGTGTTAGAGAAGATGCACTTAGGTAAATATAAAAATTACCATTGTTTTTTAAAAATAATGTACATTTTGTTAGCCTTTCTGAAGTTTTGTTTCTTGTTCTTTTTATGATAAATTGTATTATTGGTAAAAATGGTAAAAGACCATATTAACTTGCCTACTTTAGAAAATGTATGCCTATGTTAAACAGCAAAACCTGATATTTCTGATTTCATTGGCAGGAATTTTACCCAGCAGTTACAGAAGATATCTACAGATGCGGGCATGCCTATCCTGGGTCAGCCCTGCTTCTGTAAGTACGCCACAGGTCCAGACCAGGTGGAGCCGATGTTCAGGTACCTGAAGAACACATACGCCGGACTACAGCTGATTGTGGTGGTACTACCGGGCAGAACACCAGTCTACGGTAAGACATCTGACAAACAATTCTTATGTGTAAGAAGTACATATATATTTGACAGCGTGTCCTTAAAATTCTGTATACTCATACATATTTCTCATGCAATTTTATAGAATTAAAACCAAAACAATTTTTTTCCATGTGTATCCATTTCTGCTTTTTAGCCCATTTCTGAGTGATGAAATTAAATGAGTATAAATATGGTACAAAGTTGTTTTTTTAATTACCAGGTATAGTGTTTTCTTTCTTGATTCTGTGTTATTTTAAAAGGTAATTTTGTTGAATGGGCTTTGTAAGCAGATTTTCAGTCTGCTTTGATTTAATCCCATAACAGCACATCATGCATTTCAGTCATTTGTAAATTGAAAAAATAGAGAAAGTTGATAATGATGAGTCATTAAACAATTATTGGAAAATGTTATGTACAATGTCAGAGCCTACTGGAATTAAATAAATGAAAACTTTTAACTTGTTAATAATGATGTTTTTGGTGAAACGTAAACAAGATTTTTATATTTTAACAATTCACAACCTGATTTCTACCTGAATAATTACTCTGACATTTCTTTTTCACTTTTGCATGTACATGTACTTTGAGAAAGTGAAAATATTTATATTCACTAATTTTAGTCCTTATAACATGTAGGGTCCAAATGCTGGAAATGCATTAAAAACTTGATAAGTATTTGATAAAATTCGAGGCACAAAGCATTAATTCTGTGTATGTGATCTTATGTTTGTAGCTGAGGGGAAAAGAGTGGGTGACATCCTGTTTGGGTTAGCCACACAGTGCGTGCAGTCTAAAAATGTCAACAAGACTTCTCCGCAAACTCGTTAACCTCTGTCTGAAAATTAACGTCAAACTCGGAGGCATCAACAACATCCTACTGCCAAGTAGTAGGTAAGGGGTTAATGGCCATGTAGCATCAATACATTTAACTCAGTGAATGGTAATTGTTATTTAATGAAAAGTAGTGTATTGGTAATTTTCCATGGTTTGTGGCTTATGTGCTGTATATTTGCTTTGTAGACCCCTTGTGTTTCGAGAACCAGTTATTTTCCTGGGG